ACTTTTTTTCTAAATGTTCGCAATTTTTATAAAAATCTATATTTTAAAATATCCGTATGTATTTCTTTAATGCATATTATATAATTTTTAAAAAATTTTGGTTTTTTGCTCCAGGTTTAATCGAATGGCAGATCCCCGCAACGCCGATTTGACAGTAGCTACAAAACGTTTAATAAAATGGCTTCAGCGTCGTCATTTTATTAAAAAAATAAATAAAAAAATATTTTTTACTTCTAAAGACTTGTATTATTAAAGCCTTAAAACGAATTTTTTGTTACTTTTATTGTTATTTATTTCCTAAAAAATATTCCCAAAGTTACCTATAATTTTTAGGCGGTCAAGGTGGTGTAACCCCTTAATGCTTAATTTATTATTTTCGGATTATCGTTTTTTAGATTAAAGAGTCTTTATATAGTATATGTCAATTTTAAAATAAATTAACTTTTAATATCAGGGGCCTTCGATATGGGGCCACGTTTATTTTCTAAAGGTATAAAATTAAATTTAAAAGTAAAATTCAAAAAATTTCCCTGAGCGTCAGTAAAATTCCATGATTTTCAAGGGTAAAAATGAAATTCCCTGAGAATTTCAGATTTTCCTAGTAGTACCCACCCTGATACTGTTTCTAGACTAAAGATAGTACATCGTGGTAGTCGCATTTGAAAAATATTAGTTACCTATAAAATATATATTATGTATATTAAGTATACATATATTAGAATCTTATAAAAAAAAGTGTCGCAACCGATTTGTCCACGACTGTACATATATAAAACAAGAATTCGTATCATAATATATACAACAATATACACATATATATGTATATATACACATAGTAATTGTATTTACAGAAATTTTTATCTCAACAAGATCGTTACTTTCCAATTATCGCAGTATCGTTAACCACCTATTAACGCTCGTCAGTCTACAGATCATCATCGTCGCAAAATTCGATCTCGTGATATGTTTCCGCTATCCAGCCAAGGAGGTACTTGACTTTCTCTGTCGCCTCATCCGTCGCTTTGTAACCCTCAATGGCCTCGGACAGGCACTTCGATAAAAGTTTTAACAAAGGCTGTGGACAAAAAATCCAATGTTAACAGCGCAATCAGGTATCAGGAATTTAAAGCAAGAGGGAGTCGTTAAAAATACCTTGTAAAAATATATTTTGTCCAATTATACAGGGTGTCTCAAAATTCGCGAAAATATCATAGCAAGAAAGTCTCCGAAAAATTAAGTAAAAAAGTTATTTGTAAATCTTTAATTTGAGCAGTAAGTTTTGAGATATAAAAATTTAAATTTAGCCAATTATAGATTACAATTAAACGGAAACATGTCCGTGAGCGCGTCGATAGTGTTAGTGATCGCGCACTTCACGCGAGTACTACTAATTTTATAACTGGCTAAATTTAAACCCTTATATCTCAAAAACTATTGCTTAAAATAAAAATTTACAAACTTTTTTTACTTAATTTTTCGAAGACTTTCTTGCTATGATATTTTGATTCGCGAATTTCGGGACACCCTGTATATTACTTAATTGTATATACAGGGTGGACCATTTTAATCCATCCAGTCGAATATCTCGAAAATCAAGCCCGGGAGAGAAAAATTTTTCAGACAAAAGTTGTAGGGTTTCGAGAGGGACATAAGATGATAACATTGGTTTGACCCCGAGAGGCGTCGTCAAGGTCAGGACAAGGTCACTTTGAATTTTTTAAATGGAACCCCCAATTTTTCATTACATGTTCTTATGGCACGCCTCGAGAACTTTCCAAAACACATAAATAAAATATTTTTTTATGAAATAAATCTTGAGTTATGAAGCTTGAAAGTTGGAGTACTGTCGACATTAGCATCATCCAAGGTGTCCAAACACTAGCTAAAGATGGCCAAGGTCGTTGGCCTTTATCAATGTCATGATCCTGAACATTCAAAAGGTTTTAGCTAGTGTTTGGACACCTTGGATGATGTCGACAGTACTCCAACTTTCAAGCTTTATAACTCAAGATTTATTTCATAAAAAAATATTTCATTTATGTGTTTTGGAAAGTTCTCGAGACGTGCTATAAGAACATGTAATGAAAAATTGGGGGTTCCATTTAAAAAATTCAAATTGACCTTGTCCTGACCTTGACGACGCCACTCGGGGTCAAACCAATATATCATCTTATGTTCCCCTCGAAACCCTACAACTTTTGTCTGAAATATTTTTCTCTCCCGGGCTTGATTTTTGAGATATTCGACTGGATGGATTAAAATGGTCCACCCTGTATATAAATTTTTATTTTAAACAATAGTTTTTGAGATATAAGGGTTAGTTTTTAAGAAGTTTTTAGTTAAAAAAAATCTGTTTTAGTTTTATATTATTTTTACAACACTAAAATTATACAGGAAAAGATGATAAATATTTACGCCATTAATTTATCTCACACAAGTGATTCGGGTGATATCGCGTGTACACTTACCACAGGCCAGTCTCGTCTAAATAAAGCTACACACTGATCACTCAGACTGTCTCCATTGAGTATTTTAGTCTCTAATAATCTTTTCAGAAATTTCCCAAAAACTGGCCATATCGCATCATTTCGCGGTTGCATCAGTAACATGATATTTCTGGCACACAGAATTCTATGCATGGGCGAATCGTCCTCGTCGTCTCTCAGACTGTCCGACGACCATATCCTAATCAATTTGTCCTGGACCTCTCTTGTAAAGAGATCCGTCCTGTACGCCACTAAAAATACAAAAAATATCATGGTTGCGTAATTGTATCGCTCTCTTGACACATTTCAATTAGAGATATAAATAGAAAAAAAAAACTTATATAAATAGAAAAAAAAACAAATTTTTTTTCATAAAATACGTTTTTTTTAGAAACCATAAGCCTCGTTTTTTTCTCAAAATTTTATTTTTTTTCAGCTATCATCTATCTATTTAATATCTATTTATATTATCTATTTAATATCTATACGTTACTTAATATAAGCTAATTTCTCATGAGTTTTTATTTTATAGATAGTAGATTTAAATTATCATCATTTTAACCTTTAAACGAGAAAACTAATATATTGATTCTGAAACGCATTTTGAAGCAAGGACTTCAATGAATAATTATAATAAATTCTACTTGAGGAAAAACTATTTAGAAAAAGAATTAAAAAGATTCTCCTTTTGTAAAAGTTAAATGTAGATCACATTAAAATTAATTTGATAATTATATAATTACTATTTACAATTAATTTATTGTGCTATCGGAATTAGAAAAAAACCAAATTTGTATTTTTTCAATTAAATAAAACACGTTTTTTTCTAAT